GGGTTGGTCCAGTAGCACCGAGGAGCGGCGCTGCGGGACCAACCTGGCAGCACCCCAGCTGCTCTGCCCCAGGTGTCCCCAATTCAGCTGCTGCTGAAACTGACCAGCAGCGGCTGAATCAGGGACGCCTGGGGAAGAGCCGGACTATCGGAAGGGGGGGCTATGAGAGATCTGGGGTGGCATCCCCCCCACCCCACCCCAGACCTCTCCTAGCCCCCCCTTCTGATAGTCCAGCATATCTGATAATCCAGCACCTTTAGGACCCAGGGGGTGCTGGATTATCAGAAGTTTACTGTATGTAGATATGCTAATGAAAGCCATTAGTAGTACTCACGGAACTTAATGGCTTGATATTCAAGACATGATATTTAAATAGTCTTGCTGTTTACGTAAGCTTGGACTATTGTTGTCCTGCGAAGACAGGTGGCCATGTTACCTAATGCTGGAACGCATTCTGGGTGTGGTACTTTTCCATGGTGTGTGCACTCACACGAGAAAGGTTTGAAGCTGAACACAAAGGATTCCCATCTTGGGGGAAAAAAATCTATTTATAGGCAGTGAAATAAACTGCCAGGAGACCCTTCCCACTCTGCTTACCAGCATAATAACTTCTGGAAACATCTAAGACTGAATGGAGGAAGGATCATGCATAAGCTAGGAGGCTGCCTAACTTGTGAGAAAAGTTGATTAGAACTACAGTTAGGGTAAGAAGCTGGATGCAACAAGTTTTTAGAACATTAAGCTTAAATAGCATGTTTTGTTTTATTTAGCTTAGTAATATACTTTGATCTGTCTTATGTGCAACCACTTAATCCTACTTTTTATATTTAATAAAATCACTTTTGTTTATTATTGAAGCCAATGTAAATAATTACTTGGGGGAGACAACAACTGTTTAGCTCTCTTTTTCATTGATAAAGGGAGTGTACACCTTTTGAGCTTATTTGGGATAAAACTATTATGCAGAGTAAGATGGATTTATCTGGGGTTTGGTCCCACTGTGGATGTGCATCTGGGTGCTGGGTCAAGTCCCTGTGACTGAGCATAGCAGAACTGAGCTGCACTCAGTGTCTGTGTTGCTCTGTTACAAGCTGTAACCCCATCACTGTGCCTTTGCTGGGGGAGATCATAGGTTCTGGCTCAGCAGGACATGGTGGTAGAGCAACCCAGAAGGCAATATGGTGATCCTAGTAATATGATCAGCCCCTCAGGAGACAGACCCAACAGGATCTCTATGACTGAATCAGTCACAATCGTCTTCTGCCCCTTGCTACTTTGAAATAAGTAAATGTATGCAGCATAAAGCACAACTGTGCAGAACAAATTGTTTAGACTGACAAGAATAGAAACTGAAAGGTCATAAGTATAAGAATATATATAATTTACAGAGCAAATGCAATCTACTCCTTGCTTGAAGAAGTGTACTAGCTTTATGGTGGTGGCGGTGGTGGGGAAACCATGACCTTTATGTAGTCTGCAATACACAAAATTAAAGCAAAAAAGTGCTTCCATATCAGACAAATCCTACATAAGCGAGTATTTTTGTGCCATTTACTGCCTCCTTACAAAAAACCAGGTATTGAACAAAGCCAATAATATAAGCCTAGAAAAATAAATACTGAGGTGAACTGTTCATCCCTTGCACAATTTGTAATACAATCAATAAATGATCTTCTGCTATAACGCTGAGTATTTGTTGTATTTGTTTTTATTTATTATGTGTGTTACATAATTTATTATATGTATATCAATAGATTCAGTGGCTGGGGGAAGAAGGTGAGGAAAAAAGGACAGAATCTAGTCCCCTACACTCATGATACGACCAAACATCATCTAGATCAGCAGTTCTCCATTCCCCTGATCATCCTAGTAGCCCTTCTCAGCACCCATTCTAGTTTGAATTCATCTGTCTTAAACGTGAGAGATCAGAATAGCTAACAGATCAGGTCTCCAGTGCCTAGCACAATGCTAATACCACTTCACTATCTCTACTGGAAATACAGTGCATCCTAATACTGCATTAGCCTTTATCATGATCATATCAAATTTGTGGTTCAGTCATCTTGCAATTGACCCACACACCAGGTATGTCATCTCCATTGCTTCCAATTAATTATGAGCATGTCTTTGCACTCTGCACTGTTAAATTTCATCCCATTTTTATTACTCCAGTTTTCACAGTTAACAAAACTTCTTGTATGATGTTAGAGTCCTCATCAAATGAAATGAAGTAAAAATCTTAAATGAGCCAAACAGGATGACCGAATCTCTGTGGGTAGTAATTCCATGCTTTAAGAAGAAGAATATAGCAGTAGGGATATATTACAGACCACCTAACTATGCTTGTGATACTGACTGAAATGCTCACGGGGATTAGAGAGATTATTAAAATTAAAAAAAAAAACTCATAAAAATAGGGGATTTCAACTATCCCCACCACCACATTGAGTGGGTACATGTCACCTCAAGACGTGATGCAAAGATAAAGTTTCTTGACACCTTAAATGACAGATATTCTCAGAACCCACGAAAGGAGAGGTAATTATTGATTTATTCTGAAGCGCAGCACAGGATCCGTCCAAGAAGTGAATAGAGATAGACCACTTGGTAATAGTGGTAATAATCAGATTTAACATCCCTGTAGTAGGGAAAACACTACAGCAAACCAAAATTGTAGCATTTAATTTCAGAAAGGGGAGCTACACAAAAATTAGGAAGTTTGTTAAACAAATTTAAAGGCATGGTGCCAAAAGTTAAACAGTCTCTTAGCCTAAGTCCCATGTTTTATGACATATACACATACCCTTAGGTGGGGGCTTGAGCTATTAAGACTGCCTACACTGGGAACTGCACTTTCCATGTGTTGTGAAAGCATACCCTCACAGGGACAGGAAACTTGACAGAACTATTGCAGCTGAAATAATCCAGGCATATGGGATCAGGATTGGGAAGCAATCAGGTTGCTTTGACTGCTGACCTCCCCAACAAAAAATGACTATGCAGGGTAGTTACATAGACTACAAGGCCTGCAGCCATTCCACAGTGTAACTGATGCACTTTGGACACCGTATTAGCCAGAGCTGTGCAGGAACTATTGCTGCAATAGGAGGAAGACAGCACAGAGGGGCCCTCATCAAGACACACCACAAATTAATCTTGAAAAAACACCTCCCTCTGCTTTGGTGAGAATTTGGTTATGAAAACCAAATGGGATTATGACAAGACCATTAGAAATTTCAGCCCTCTTGTTCAGTTCTAGAAAAATAAAACCTCTTTGGATTTTTGCAACTATTTGAAAAGAAATGACCAATCTAGTACAACAGGAGCTTGGCACTAGTAACTTTATTCTCTCTTACAGACAACCACCCAACCTGAAACAAATTCTCTTTGGTAACCATGCTACACAGCTACAACATAAACATCCAGGAACCCAGCCCTGCAAATCAGCCCTGATGCCAACTCTAACCACATATCTATACAAGCGAATTCATTACTGGAGCCAACCACATAAGCCACCAAATCAGAGGATCATTTAACTGCACATCCAGAAATGTAATCTATGCCATCAAATGTCAGCAATGCCCCACTGCAATATATATTGGACAAACTGGACAGTCCCTACAGGAAAGAATTAATGGACACAAATCAGGTATTCATAAAGAGAACATACAAAAACCCGTTGGGAAACATGTCAATCTACCTGGGCATTCATTAACAGATCTTCAAGTGGCTGTTTTTTATTACAGACCAATTCCACAAGCCAAACACACAGGAAAGGACTGGAACTACAATACAGTCACAAGTTTGATACTCATGCTAATGGATTAAATAAAGATACGGAAGGGCTGGGACATTATTAACCTACCAAACAATGAAGGTGCCAATGATTCTTTGTCTGTATTGTATCTGGTGTTAGTACTCTTCTTCTCTATTGCCTACTAATGGTTCTTATGTGCCTCTTTTGATTATCCAGTCTTTAGGTGCTTACAAACTATTTGTTTTTCCTGTTACATTCCAGCTTGGCCTTCCCCTTGATATTTTTATACCAACTATCTCTTCTTGTCGTTCCCGTCCCCCCTCCCCCCTCCCATTTTTTCCTCCTCCCCCATTTATTTTAGTTCTGGATATTCAACACTCTGGTCATTTGAAGAAGTGGGCTATGCCCACGAAAACGCATGATACCATCTACATGTTTTGTTAGTCTTTGAAGTGCTACCATGCTATTTGTTGTTTTTTAAAGTTTATCCTGTACAGACTAACTTGGCTATCCCCTGAAGTTTAAGATACAAGTAATATAAACCCTAGCCTATACTGTGTAGAGAAGTGCATCTTGGTTCAAAGGGCATGTTTCTCACACACAGTTACAGGATACAAAATTTCCAGTTTGGAGCAATTTTTGACATACAGTGATTTAAGATTTAGGGATGCAAGAGAGAAACAAAAAAAGTATATTTAGGCTTTAAAGGCTTAGATGCTCATCTGTAAATGTTGATACATTTTAATTTAGCTATATAAAACACAAACAAAAATATTTCTATCAATGATAATCAAAATGTACAAATAGACAAAGGAAGCAAAATGACAACTTAAGAGTTTGATTTAAGGATAATCAAATTATCTACATTTTGACACGATGTTAATGTGTGTTCTAATTATTTTAAAGCTTTAATTTTTAATCTCAGTGGCTATCATTAGACAATTATCTGATTTCACACATAATATGCCAATACTATGAAGATTTAAATGCTTTAAACCTATAATTCTACACAATTGAAAACTTAAGTATTTTTCCATTTTCGTTTTAACACAGATATTATCCATCAAAATTTTAGAAAAATAAAAAATAAATTCTACCAAACCTCAGTATACTTAACATGCAGACCCCCTGAATGGCATTTGAGGTCTACTGCTTCTAATGAAAAACAAAACTAGATTCGTGGTTATCCTAATGTGATAAAAATGTACAAAAATGAGAATTTGGTAAAGTATAGAACAAGTACAATGCAGCTAAACCACAGAACTGGTTGTACAAATGGGAAAAGAGAAATTAGAGACTTGACAGCCCAATCTATGAACTTAACCTATTTCTGGCCAACTGTAGAATTAGAGCAAAAAATGAAATAGTGTAAAGTGAAGAAATAAAATTAATAGAAGTATTACTGAAAAACTCAGTCACCACTAAATTCCATTTCCTAATCAGAGCGAAAAAGCACCATTGTGTAAAAAGTGAATATACATTTAGCACTTGATTTTACTAGATGTTTGGGTTCATATCAAGCAAGGAACTTTCCAGAAGGCCATTTTCGTTAAAAATATTCCTTCATATTCCTCTTAGTAAAAATGATACATCAATTGCTTGTTAAATTATGAAATCATCCAATGAGTAGCACTGAATAAAGGACATCCTACATGAAATGCAATTAGCCTTATACACAGTATCAGGACCAATTGTTTTCACAATAAAACTACAGTAAAATGACAAAGCTAAGGAAAGGAGGGATAACACAGCTTGCTATAAATTTTGTGACTTAAGACGACCCAATATCCCCTACTCCATCTAGAGCTTTTAATTCTTGGCTCTTCAAAATGAAAGATAACTGGTGTGCTGAAAAACTATGTCAGCACAATACTATGCATGGGTGAAACACAAATGGAAGTCAATAAGTGCTTCAAACAAATTCAAGAGCTATTAAACATGATCCTGAAGCCGTACAAAGATGCTGTAAAAGTTTACAAGCCCATGTACAAAAATATCCTTGCTTAACAATCATTAATTGCAACACCCTAATTGAGACATTTCTCTTAATTAAGATATTAAAATATTTATCTTGTTCATTAAAAAAACGATTTACCAAGTAGGTGACAGATAGTTACACCAATTAGTTTAATGTGCATATATCTAGCAAAATTATTTGTTGGTGACTTTAAACTGGTAAATTTCTTTAATTAAAGAATGTGGCAGAATTTTTTAGAACCATTTGTTATTAGATAGAAAATTGTAGACCTTCCATTTAGCTGTCATGGAAATTTCTTTACTTGTTAGTGCTTCCAGCTGTTCTAACAGCTTTTCCTGGCACCTGTATTACTATTGCACTAACTGGGAAACTCATAACCATATGTCAGCTGACAGATGGAGCTCAATCTGCCAATTCCCAAAAATGTTTAATATAGGGGCAGACTATCACATATGGTTGAAATCTGAGCATGCTATTCTCTCCACAGCAAGAGTTACCCATATTGAAGGTTGTTTTGATTAACTCAATATCAAATTTTGTAGGGAATTTGTTATCTGGCAATTGGTAAAAATAGAAATATTGTTAATATGTTTACACATTTTATGCCTGAATTCTTTGAAGGAGGAAATGAAGGAATGTTTGCCAAGCAGTAACACGAGCTGCCAGTTGGACATAAGTTTGCTGAGAGAAGATAAGAGTTGGAGGCTATTCTCTTAGCTATGGAGTAATTAAATTATTGCAACAATACATCATTCCCAGAAATAGAATGATAGACTCCATCATAGTGTTCCTGGGTCAAACAGTTGCTTTAGAATATGTTTTAATTAAGGCAATTGATTTTAAGTTGTGGTAAAACTGGACTTTGCAATACTTATGCCTGAAGTTGATTTCATATATATAGAAAAGAATGAAGGTTATTAGAATAGGAAAGACAAGACAAAAGGACAATTAGTCACTTTCAGATATCAAGCGAGCAAATTAATATTATAAACTGCATTTCACAATACCCTATCAATAACATATTTTTCTAGCATGAATTTCCATATATTTTAAAGTTCAAGCTTACGATTTTTTAAATACATTGTAGACGACTTCCCAAAGAATCTTGAAATATTAAGCCAATTTTGTACATCAATCCTCAACCAATCTATAACTATTTTAATAAGATAATTAGGGATAAGAGTCAATGGGGGAAAAGGTAAAAGAGCTATATAAATTCTCATCAGATGATATAAAATTAGTTCTTATAGGTTATATATAGATATTATTTGTAAGTATGAATATTTCTCACCCATTTTTCACTGAAATAGGCATAACATATTGACATGGAAATTACGATTTCCATTAGATCTGAACAGCAGCTTCAGGTTCTGACTCCAATGTGCCTGGCTGAACAATTTCCAAAAACTTATTCATACATTTTTAGAAAAGGTATAGCTCCCAATGTTAATTTTGTAAAACATGCAGTCTCATGAACTTTGCATACATGAAAAACTGATGTTTAGCAAAAAATAATGAAATTACAATCATACAAGTCATCCTATACAAAAGATATAGAATGGCTGTTCTCATTAGATTAAGATTTAAACCTTCCCCGTTTGTAAACATTAAAAAAAAAAAGCTAATGGAAAGTGACACCCCTAACCCTAAATCAATCCACCTTGGTTACATAAGTGAAGTAGAGTAGCTTAGATCAATTTACTTCAGTAGAGAAGGCCTAAATCAAGGAAAGATTTTCCAATAAACTTTCTTTACAAACACACTAGTATTAGAAAAGAAGTTAAGCTCTGTTATCTCTGTCTCACAGACAGAGAATCCAAAACAATTTTGTTGAGGCATCAAACAGATTAAAAAAAAGACAGGCTCTTAATACATTTTAAAGGCAGAGCTGCAACGGGGTTAGCTCCCGCCCGCTGCAGCTCCTCTGCTTATAGGCTAGTTGATGGAAAATCCATCGACTAGTTGATTAGTTGATTGAACTAAATTTAACATCCCCAGTGTGTGGAGGGAGGCATTGAGGTTTCCCAGTAAAAATCTATTTTTTGCAAGCATCTTATATTTGTGGCAGTATCTAGAGGTCAGAGATCCATTGTGCTGGACATTGTACAAACATCAAACCCTTTACTTTCTGTGTTATACTGTACAGGGAGTAGAGAAACCGTTACAAAGGATGTTTTCAAACAACAGCTTAACAGTTCTAAAGTAAATGGCTCTAATTACCAAGGAAGCATTTAACCAAATGTTAATTTAGTGGCAACAAGGTGCATATGGTCTTTACCTACACACAGCATCATCTGTCTGAAAGATCAAAACTACTTCTCTCAATTCTTGTATTTCCAGGTGACATGGTACCAGCTTACTCCAGTCATTACTAATAAAGGAAAGCCTGAAAATTAACTTTCAAATGACATGACTAGGGTTCATCCTGATGTCTCTGTTGCTGAAGAGAAGAGCCAGTCGCAACTTATCTGCTGATTACAGACAAGAAAAAAAGCTATGGAAAATTCATTCAACAGTTTTATTTGTCATAACCTTGAAACAAGACTAAAACCATACATCTGCATTGCACTCCAAGGAAAATGTTCAAAGGTTACTATGCTCATGATGTAAACGTTTGTTTTAGCAGACTGATGATGGAATAACACAATATTTCTGAATGAAACATGTGCCTGGAGGTTGTTTCATGTGCCTCATTTGAGTTTCCTGAGGGAACAGTAAGAAACAGAACATACTACTTTTCTAAATTACTCTTTGTTCTACCATAACACATTTCCAAACTCCACCCCCTACCCTTCAAAGTAATTCTATATAAGCACTTGTTCCTATGGATAGGTTTATCAAGTTCCTCCACCACCTACTTTGAATTTGTTTATATACTGAGTTATAACATGTTACGCCTGTTCTACACCAGATAATTTTGCTGGAAAAACTTGTATCTATCAGTACTGCCTTGTGCATGCCCACACTAAATTTTGAGTCTTGCAAACAAAACTGTCAACTTTCACTGGCAAAGTTCAACCAATTTCCTGGACAATATAAGCCTTCTTGTATCTGGTGAAGACCCACTAAGTTGATTGCAGAGCATTCTCCTATTGACGCCTATATACCAGCTCTCTGAGAAAAGTAAATCTACAGGAGAGCATCTCCTGTCAACACAGCATGGTACAGACATGCAGAAGTACCAGTGTAAGCACGTCTTCAGCAACAAGCCTTCAATGCAACTATTCCCAGAGCATCAAACGCATTTCTTGATCTCCACTGCCCAGATGTGACAGTGCTGAGAAGCCTGTCCCCCATTTAAAACACCAAGTGTACTTTCCTACTTTCACACCTTTTTAAGCATAGCTTCACAGGCCTGGCTCCACCTCATCCATGCACTGCTGCATGGTCAAAGACAGAGGAACAAATGCAGGCAAAGCTCTGAAAAATAGGTATACTCAAGAGGCATGGAGATCCAGAGATACAGCAAGGATGAGAATAAAAGAGAGCTGCAGAATGCTTACCAGAAGAGAAGGGGCTCAACTTTATGTTCCTATCTTGAATGGCTTGATACCATACTGAGCTAGGATCCCACCAACTTCTTGCCAGACACAGCGTACACTTCAGAAGATAGAACTGGTAACAGAGGAGGCTATCACTGAGTATGGAGGACATGGTGGATGGCAGGATGAACAAGAACATATGGACCCAAAGAACCAATTAATCATGGAGAAAGGAGATGCTTGTACATGTAATTTAATAGGTTGTTCCTTTAACATAAGTCATTTTGTTTACCTTTTCAAGAGTAGCCTAAAACAAAGCTCCTAGCTTCTCCCAGAGTTGCTTTCTCTCAAAATAGCAGTTAAGCACATTTGGGAGCATGAGATTCAGTTTTGAACTACCTGCCTTTTTTTAGAGCCCTGCAAGTCCATGGATAGCTGCTTTGTATCAGTAGGTATACACATATATGGATGCTGAAATCCGTAACTCATTTTTGTGGATGTAGATACAAATTCTGTATCTAGAACCCTGAAAATTTGCAGATATCCTCTCTATATTTGAGGTACCTGCGTCCATGGATGTGGATATCCATACCTCTTTTTTGTGGATTCAGATGCATATATGCATTTTGTATCCATGCAGGGCTCTACGTATAATAAGAACACAAAATGGCACTAGTAGACAATGGTTGAAAATACTGGAAAACAGCCAAAGAATTCTCAACAACATATTTTTGCAGAATAGAATTAAAGCACTTGTAAAGCACTATTTTAAACTGTAGTGAAAGCAGAGGTTACTCGTCTTGAACAGTAACTGGAGTTCTTTGAGATGGTGTCCCTGTGGCAGCTCCATGCTGGATCTTGGTGCCATCCCAGCACCTGGATCAAAGATTCTGAAGCAGTCCCTGCGGGTGCCACACATGCACAGCACTAACCAGTGCATGCTTTCCAGCAGGCATCGCGCATGAGCAGCCCGTGCCCTCCAGTTCATTCTCTACCCCAGAGACCGTATAGGTCTGAAGCAGAGGGGAAGAGGGCAGGTCATAGAGCATCAACAGGGAAACCTTCTCTAAGAACTCCAGTTACTGCACAAGGCGATTAACCTCTGCTTCTTTGAGAAGTCCCTGTGGATGCTCCACAAGCAGTATCAGCATGTGGAGCCTGGGGCTTTGAAATATTGTGGAAGGCTGATGACAACCACAGAAATGTCATGATGCCCATAGGAGAGCGTGTAGTACTTAGCAAAGGTAAATTGTGACATCCAGGCGACTGCCTTGCAAATGTCTGAAAGTGGGACGTTGCATAGGGATGCAACAGTAGAAGATATGGCCCTAGCGGAATGAGCCGTCAACATTAAGGAAGATAGTAGGCCCTGACAGGTCAGTGATCCACTTGACAATCTCTGTTTTGATATGTATTGTCCTTTAACCTGTTTCTTAAATGACAAGAAGAACAGAGGGGATTGCCTAAAGGATTTAGTTCTCTGAAAGTAGAACGCTAGTGCATGCGGTTTCAGAAAGAAATACGGGTAAGTTTAGTGGTTCATTTATATGAAATGAGGAGGCCAACTCAGGTAACTATTTTGAGTGCATACATTGACCTTATCAGAGTGGAATATCATAAAAGGTTGGTCAGCCATGAGTGCCGCCATGTCTCCAACACAGCAGGCTGATGTTATGGCAACCAGTAATGCAAACTTCATGGAGAGGTGTGCCAAATAGCAAGATGCTCAAAAGATGGCCTGGTGAGAGCTTGTAGTACCAGACCCACATCCCAGAAAGGTACGGGTTGTGTGACATCAGGATGTAGGAGGCATAGCCCTTTAAAGAATCTGTTGATTATGGAGTGACTAAAGATGGACCAACCCTCAATTTTGTGAAGAAAGGCTGTAATGGCTGCTAGGTGTACTTTGATAGAGCTGAATGAGAGCGATGACTGTTTCAGAGCGAGGATGTAACATGATGAGCGACAGGGGCATTTATATAGGATTGTATCCTTTGAAAGTGCATCATGCTGCAAAGCATTTCCATTTATATGTGGAGGAGGAGCATGTGGAATCCTTATGACTGTGGAGGAGGATTGCGCGCATCTGCTCAGGAAGCCCTGGTTCGGATTGGGAGAACCATGGAGGAGCCATGTTGTTAGATGCAGTTTGCATAGGTCAGGGTAGGTTTGTGTTTGGCCCAGTGTGATGAGATTGCACTGGAATGGGGAAGTGATGGGAGAGAGAATTGACATTCTGAGCAGGAAGGGATATCAGGGTTGTCTTGCCCACGAGGGGGTTTATTAGTATGTCTATGGCCCCATCTGTCCTGATCTTGTGGACTATTTTGCCAAGGAGTGGTATTGGGGTACTGTGGTATTCAACAGCTCTGGACTGCCTGGTCACAAGAGCATAGTTATGTACACATAAAGAGAAAAAAAATTTCCCAAACTGTACAATGAGAATATTAAGGGTTCCTGAAAACGAAGCATGAAACTAAAGCTGATGTAGTTTGTACACATTTTTGAAAATGCAATTTTCTTTGCCACACCACAGACATTTTATAGAAGTCAACTTTGAATAATGGGAAGATATTCCATTTAAAAATGTGACATTTTGAAATGGACCATAGCTT